TTTAAATATGAAAAAAAAAATTTTTTTCTATCAATGAATCCTAATTTAGAATTAAAAAGAATTTGATAATAAATTTTAAAAATAGGATTTTATCTTATATTTAATAATACTTCTGTGTATGCAACTAAATTTTGTATAAAATTTATTTATAAAATTATTTGTGAAATAATTAATTATAACTTATTGTATAATGGTAATAAATACTTAATTTAGAATGAATGAATAGAAATTCTTATCATTATAATCAAATTAGTAGTTATTATTATTATTTTTTTTTTTTATAAAATTAGAGAAATTTTTATCAAATTGTTTAATAAGTATTTTTTTTTGTTTCAAAAAAAAAAAAGAATTCTTATTAATTGTTTAACAAGCATTTTTTTTGTTTTAAAAAAAAAAAGAATTCTTTATTACTGTTTTTCATGATATTCTATGTATTAGATTCATGATTTAAAAATTTACAATTTATAACAAAATTAACAAAGGATATCTTGTATAGATAGCTTTGTGATATTTTAAAGAATAAAAAAAAGGTAATTATTTTAATGTATTGTTTTTTTGTTTTTTAAAAAAGGAATTTTTTATCAATTGTTTTATAAATACATTATTTTATTTTAAAAAAAAAAATTTTTTATCAATTTGTTTTATAAGCACTTTTTTTTTAAAAAAAGATTCTTTATCAATTGTTTTATAGCATTATTTTTTTGTTTCTTTTTTTTTAAAAAAAGGAATTCTTTATCAATAGTTTTACAAGTATTTTATTTTTGTTTCATCAAATTTCCTTATAAAAGAACTAAATTAAATATTTCAAAAAAAATAAAAAAAATTATCAAAAATGTCAACAAAATAAATTCAAGAAACTCTTTCTATAAAAGGATTTTCTGGTTTAGTTCATAAAATAATCCAATTCTTAAAAAAAGCTAATAATTTAAAATTGGATTTTAGAAATAAATTTTTTGAAAGTAAGGTTAGGTTGATTTTAGAGAATAAAATAAAATTTCATTTAGCTGCTATTGAGATAATTTACCATGTAGACAGTATGATTTCATTTAGTGAAGATTTCACATCTTTAAATAAATTTCATGATAAGCAGTCTGTTTTTAATATATTAGTAAACTTAAAATTATTTTTATCGAAAGCTAAAAAAATTATACTAAATTTAAAAAAATCATTGCCAAAATTAGTCCTATTAAGAAAAGTATGCAGAACCTTAAGAAAGAGTTAAAAAATTATGATTTAGATAAGTGAAAGATATTAATATTGATTCTAAAATATATAACGAATTAAAAAAAGCTAAACCAAATAAGTTATTATATGGAGCATTAGCAATTGCTGTTGTTGTAGGTTATATTTGCTTTTTTCTTAATGGATCAATAGATATAAGTGTGATAATAGCAACAGGAGCTGTTGAATTAGAAGCATTAGTAGTAACAATAATAGCAGCTTTATCAATAACATTAGTGGTAACAGAAAATGCAAGATTAAAAGCAAAGCATACTAAAGCAAAAGCATTACCTATATTAGAAATAATTTGAATAATAAACTAAACAGTTTACTGAGTAATGCTTCTCTGATAATACCACTTTTGGAAAAGTTTAAACATTTTTGGAATAATCATATTGAGAAGTTAGGAAGAGTTATTGAGTTAATTGAGATTTATTATAAAAATGAAATACTTTTTTGTGAAGTCATTATGAAAAAGGTTGAAAGAGTTTAGAAGAATATAATTGAAGAATGTAAAGAGTATTTTTGAAGTATAGGAAAACAATTAAAAGAATTAGAAAGTATTTAAGTCAAGATAATTTTTTATTATATTATTTTTAGTTATATGCCAATCTTTTTATTTTTTTATTTTACTTTTAAAACTTTATATTAGATATTAATGTTCAAAAAATTACACGTATGCAGATTTATAGAATGGTATATTAATTTATATCTAAAAATTTAAATTATATATATTAGAACTTTTAAAATCATAAATATTACAGTAAATAATTTTAAATTTATTATTTTTATCATAAAACTTGTATCATTTATTATTAAATAAAAATTAATATAGATATACTGTTTATCAATTTTTTTATCTCAATTCTTTGAATCAGGTAATATAAATAAAAACTTTATCTATTTTCAATTCTCAACAAATTTGTATAGTACTTTTGCCTTATGTCTTTAAAGTATCAGTTTTTATAAAAAATTAAATGTGCAAAAAATTTACGTTATGATATAATATAGACTTAAAATAGAGCTCTGAATTAGGTTAGATCGATCTGTTTACCTAACCTGAAAATCCTGATCAGGTCAATAGATTTTTAGATTAATGTTAGGTTAGGTTAACAAGTTGAACTGACCTGATCTGACCTGATAAAATTTAGGTTAACTAATCATCATTTTTGAATGATGTTTTATCATTTGAGAATGATATTTTTATCATTTAAGAATATAATTTTATCATTCAATTAAAACAATTCATTATCATCTGAAAATGATGGTTTTATCGTCTGAGAATAATAATTTTATCATCTGAGAACAATAATTTTATCGTCTGAGAATGATAATTTTATCGTTTGAGAATGATAATTTTATCGTCTGAGAATGATGGTTTTAACATCTGAGAATAATGGTTTTATAGTTCAAGAATAATATTTTATCATTCAATTAGAACAATTTCGTTATCATTCAAAAATAATAGTTTTATCATTCAAGTATATAGTTTATTATTTAAGAATGATAGTTTTATTATTCAAGAACAATATTTTATTATTCAATTAGAATGATTTATTATTATTCTTGAATGATATTTTATTGTTCTTGAATGATATTTTTTCATTTAATTAGAATGATAATTTATCATTAAAGAATGATAGTTTTATCGTTTGAGAATAATGATTTTATTATTCAAGAATGATAGTTTTATCATTTAAGAACAATAGTTTTATCGTTCAATTAGAATGATTTATTATTATTTGAGAATAATAATTTTATTATTCTTGAACGATGTTTTATCATTCAATTAGAACAATTTATTATCATTTGAGAATGATAGTTTTATCATTTGAAAATGATAGTTTTATCGTTCTTAAATGATGGTTTTATCATTCAAGAATGAGGTTTTATCATTCAATTAGAATAATTTGTTATTGTTCTTAAATAATGATTTTATCATTCAAAAATGATAATTTATCATTTAAGAATAATGATTTATCATTCAAAAATAATGATTTTATTGTTCAAAATGATAATTTATCATTCAAGAATGATGGTTTTATCATTCAAAAATAATGTTTTATAATTTGATCAAATCAGGTCAAGTCAAATAAAAAATTAAATCAAGTCAGATTTTTGTTTGATTTGACCTAATCCTTTCAGTTTAGGTAACTTAATTGATCTAACTTGAACTAACCTGTTCAAAGCTCTAACTTGAAAATATCTTAAAATTAGAATTTTTTTAATATATTAAACTTACATAAGAAAGAAAACTTAAGTCAATAATATGAATTATTTCAAAATAATACTACAGTCAGCTCACTTTAAATGCACTATCTCTAAATATACATAATATATATTCCTCTCTAAATGTATACTCTTATTCTATTCCAAGCATATAAAAATCATAAAAAAATTTGCACATCCTCTTTGAATGCATATTTTTAAAATTTTCACTATGATTCCAAGGGGATGCATTTAGAAAGAGTTGACTGTAATTTAATTTTTAGAAATTTAATTTAAATTTTTATTTTTATATTTAATTTAAATTATAATAAAAAGTATTTATTAATATTAAGTTTACTAAACCTTAGTTTTAAAAATTATCTTTTAATTTTATTTAAAGTGAATATATTATAAAAAAAATAATTGCTAAACAATATTATAATTTAAATATTAGATAATTTAGATTAAGTATTATTAATTATAATCTTGAAGAGATATTGATATTTTAATTTCTAAATTCTTATTGGTTCATATTTTAATAACCAATCACGTGATTTTATGTTTGACTACAGCACGTTAAACAAATTGTTTTAAAAACTAATTTTTATTTTTTTATTTTTTCTTTTAACCTTAATTAAATAATAAATAAATAATTTAAATCGACGAAGCGTATTCAATTTTCTATTCGCTTAATTTTGGTGATACAAAAAGTCATAAAAAGGTTTATAAATCGATTCATACAATTCGCGGAATCCGAAAATCTAATTTCTTTTATATTCAAAATACTTTACTTGGTACTTGTATCCGTCCATAAATTGTAAATTCATTAACAGAAAATCTTTTACCAATAAAATATCATTGTCTTTAAGAACAATGAAAATATACCAAGTTTATTTAATTTTTTTTTTTTATTTTAACTAATAACTTGTATTAAAAGATCCAGACAAATTATAGACATCCGGGCAAAAACGTACATATTCCAAAATAATTACGTAGAATTTATTATGTCAAGCCCGGACACATTTTTTACTTAAGGATATCTTATTACTACTTTACTTTATTTAGCTTTTTGAAATTATCTTTTAATAGCTATATAGAAATATTTTGGAAGATGAGTTCTTAAAGACCCTAAATGTATGTAATTTGAATGTAAATCATATCATATTTTAACAGAATAATGATCTAGAAACATACAGTAAAGAAGACATACAAATAGTTTTGAGCATCGTTTGTAAAAAGTATTCTTTGATTGTATTATTTTGGAACTTTATCGGAGTGAATGTGATAAAATTTAATATCATCGTAAACTTGGGGTCATTATAAATCAATTGTTTGGATGGAAATGATTTAAGGTATGAATTTTGAGAGGTAGTTTATGTAAAATCACGTAATAAAAAAAATTTTATAAAAATGATCACTGCGGGCAAAAAAAATACATCACGTGATCTTTGTGTTTAATTGTGATTGTGTCCCAAAGTGGAAATTGGCGTATTGAAATCAGAACTTTATTTAGGTAAAAAGAATGAACATCTTTTGAAAAATGAGAAAATTCAGTCTCGAATACATTTTGTTTATTTGACTTCAATAATATCGTTCAAATCGATAATTACATCTACAAATGTACAAGTTTAATTTTGGTATATTCGTATTATAACAAGAGAAAAAATATGAACAGAACTACCTTTCTTATCGGTATTGTCAAAAACGGTAATATTTTTTCCATCTATTTTCTGGATTTTTCCGCCGTGAATTTGGTCATTGATTCTGAATCTAATGTCTTCTGAGAAACAACGAAGAAAAAAAAGAAGTATTAGTATTTAAACTCTGGTTTTAGAGAGAGAGATAAACAATACATACTGCCTACGGAGAGTTGATTTGGATTCACTGGCATTTTAAGTTAATACAATTTTTTTAGGGGTATAAGGAAAAGTTTACAAAAAAAATGAAACTTGGAAAGAAAGCTGAAAGAGAAACGAACACTTAAATACAGTTTATTAAAATGACCCTATAATATAATTGTAACCTGACTTGTTTATTTATCTCAATGATTTCATCAGTATATAGATATCATATGTAATTTCCTTGTTCGACTCATGGCGTTTCATAAAAAAAAATAAATGCACGCCTTATTCACAAATTAGTCTTCTATTTATCTTCATCAGGTACCTTGTGAAATATAAATTGAGATTGATTAAAATGCAGTAACATCTTAATTTAGCCGAAACATTCCATTTTCAACTCATTGGTTTTTTCACAAGAAACAATCGTCGCTTACTCCAGCAGATTTGGGCAGTATCATGTTAAAACTGAAAAATATACCCACACTAAATTCCATTTCGTAATGTATACAGAATTGTGACACGACAACTGATGAAAACAATAAAATTTAAGCACACGGTCATCTATAAATTCGGAAAAAAAAATCAGATTTTAATATGTTCAAAAAATAAAATGTATCGTTGTACAAATCGTGTAAATTCGACTACCAAAAAACCTGAATTAATAATATTTGTGTTGATGTCTTAGAAAACTTTAATTAGAATTTTAGGCAAATATTCAGTATTATTCTCATTTACAGTAAAATTGAATTGCATGACAGAAAATTTTAGGTATATCTTTTTATTGTTAGTGTTATAAAGCAAACATATTAAAACATCGAGTCTAATCAAATTTTTTTTTTAAAAAAATGCATTATTTTATTCATATAAAAATATATTATTGGCTTCAATCCGTACTTACTGAAGGTCAAAGGTTGCGGGGCAAAATCCAAATCCATTTTGGCAAGTCGAAACCTTTCGATTCGAAGGGCTTCAATGGGTTTCGACAACGGGGTTTCGACGGGTTCAACGGGTTTCGAATTCGATGCCTGTCGAAACCTGCCTGGCAACCTTATGAAGGTCTGTTTTATTTATAATTAAACATTCTACAGTAATTTTTACTACAAAAAATCATCCCTTACATGGTAAGGATTTTCACCTAAATTTGGTTATAATTTATAAATTAATTATAATAACTATCTAAACTATCTAAACATAACTAATTCATAAATACATTTAACGTAAAAAAACCTTAAACACAAAAATAAATACCGCCTTAAATTTGAAAAATAACACTCCTTATGGATAATAAACCTTTCTTTAAATTATTTTATTATATGGGAGAATTTCTAGGAAAATCAGGTTCTGAGAAATTTTTAACTAAAATTAAGAGCTTAATGCATTTTAATCTAATAACATCAAAAACTAAAATGCAATAAAAATCTCAATTTTGTTA